AAGAACAGAAATCAAAATGCAAATCCAATCTTTCTGTAAGGACCAGCTGGAAGGGGAACAGGGGGGTTGGATTGCGAATGGGAGATGGAAAGGAGGGGAGGGAGGGGCGGGATGGGATACGGAAAAGGATTGAAAGGGATTACCACGGTGACCTTCATTTTCATATGTAGACCAAATTTGACCCCTCCATCCCACTGTGGCCTCTCTCAGATTTTCCTGCTCTCTTCCGGCCGCCTGCAAGCAAGCTCGATGGTCGAGACTCACTGGTATACAGGTGTCTGAAAGGACTCCGGTGATGAAATCCTTGCGTCAAAAGGGTGAAGAGGCCCTTGTACTGCTCAGTCCACCCCCTGAGATTTGTCAGGGTAATCAATGTGCTGGCAGTTCTCTCACAAGCTCTCTGAATGTTGATCAGATCCCGTCTCATTGTAAGGGACGCTGGACCCTATTTCTAGCAGGTGAATCTTCCACCAGGGCTCCCACCAATAGATCGTCGGAGCAAACCGCAGGCGTTGCTAGGGGGTTTTGCTCATACCATCACACCTACAAAAAAAAACTGGGAGTGTTTTTTGATTTTTTTTTCAAAAAGGAAAAAAAAAGGGAGAGGATTCAGTCTCATTTTGCACCTTTGGAGAGTAGTGGAGCCAGGCCGTACAGGTTGTTGCAATTTATGCGTATATCCCCTCAAAAGAGGGCCCTGTTCCAAAATTGAGTAACCACAGGTCAGTCTGACATGATGGCATAGCAGTGAGCCCACATAGGTCAGGAGTCGTACGTCACCGATCAACACACAAGGCACTGTACATAATACGGCCCGGCTTGACTACTGGCCAAATATGCAAAAAGAGGCTGAGGAAAACAAAAATAATAATAAAAAATGGACTGGATGTTGCGCTAGAACATGGAAAGGTGCTGCCGTCCACCATTTGTTTTGCCTTTTTTTTTTTCTTTTTTTTTTTTTTGGACCCTTTCTCGATTTATGCGTGCAATCCTTGCGCAGGGGTGACACCATTTTGAAATTAATAAATTCGAAACAAGAAATTAAAAAACTGAAAAAAAACGCTAGAAACAGCTTTTCTCCTTATTTTTTATTAAGTAAGGGCCTCGTTAGACACTCCTTACGAGTTCCTTGCGCCACAAGGAATTTTCCTTGTGGCTCGTAAGGGAATTTGGGCTCTTCGTTCCACCTGTCCTTGGGGACATCGCCCGAGGACATTTCCTAAGCCTGATGTCAGAAAAAAGAAAAGAAAAGAAAAAAAAAAAACAGTTGTGCTTCAGGCCTTCAGCCAATAGGGTGCCGCCACGATCCAGATTCTAAGCTGTAACGTCTATCTACCCGTGTGCCATCTCCTCTCCGTGAAACGCGGATTCCTTGTGCCCAAGGGACCTCATGAGGTCCCTTGGGCACAAGGAAGAAATGGCTGGGGCCACAAGGATGCCACAAGGAATTTTCCTTGTGGCGTTTTCACATTTCTTTTTCAATTTCGTCCCCAAGGACAGGTGGAACGAGCACGTCCTTGTGGATTTCACGTCCCCAAGGAGTGTCTAACGAGGCCCTAACTCGGAGAAATGAAACACTTCTGGCACAATCGGAGTGAATGTCTCCGTGGAAAAGGGCTACCTCCCGTGGTGAGGGGACAGGAGGTCACCATTTGTAAAATGGACAGGGACAACATGGATGGCCAGATGCGTTCATTGCCCAAAGATGGAAGAGAGTTTGATGATGTGCGAGGATCAGGGTCCTCGGTAGGCCTATGGGGCCCTGTTTGCAGCATTACCCACCCTAAGTGAAGGCGGAGGTGCCCGCCCTAAGTGAAGGCAGGCCTGGCTTTTTGCAAGAGGCCCTCGACTGTCAATTTCATATTTGGGGTCCAGGCAATTGCAACGTGTGATACGCAACCTGACGCCCCCTCGCAGCTTCCCTTTCTGGGTCGCCGATCAGAGTTCTAGGGGGGGCGTGGCCGAGGATTTTTGGCCGTAGGGGTTGAGTCTCCCGGACGGAACGGGAGGCTCTCGTTTCCTGCCAGACGTTACCCCGGAGTCGAACTGTCGTCGCGAAGTCCCGTGGGTGTCGGATCACTTCGAAACGATAAAATCAGAATGGTTTCCGCGAAAACGAATTGCCGTCGTGTATCAGGACGGAAAAAGGCATCAAGGGGAGAGGGCCATGGCGGCAGAAGACAGAACTCCGGCCGTCATGGGTTTGGGGGGTAGGTAGGGGGTTCGAAGCCTTCCGGCCTCGTCATCGGCCTCACGAAGTGACCAGACCATCGGGTTTTTGCTGTAGAGGTGGTTGGATCGAGGTCCTCAAGCCTCGGCGTCGAACTCGCAAAGTCCGCGCGGAAAGTTCCGAGAGGGTGAAACGGTGGGAGGACTCGCCGGCATCCGAATTCGAAATTCCGCGGGCAGCGCCCCCGCATTACGGGAGAGCTCGGGGAAACGTGTCGCTCCCTCGTACCCCAGGACCAAGCGTCGCCAAGAACACGAGTCCCCCTGGCGACACCAGCGACAATCAAACCGCAGACGCCACACGGCGTGAGCGGCCGACCAGGGCAACACAGTTAAACCCGTATAAGGCAAGATGAGAGTCGGGGAATCAAAACGATCAATCAAGACAAACCCGTTCCCCCTTATATCACAAACCCGAGGCGGGTCTCGCCAACACACTTGCTCCGTTCGCCTCAACGCGCGCCGTACGTCCGCATCGCAGTAGACGCTATCGTCATCTGTGATGGGGAAGGTCGGTAGCGAGATGAGACGATCGGGGGTACGTGATGAACACGGGCAAGATCCCGCGTTCCTGGTCATCCGAACCAACATCGACTCCATACAACACTCGATGCAACCTTCTCTCTCTTAGTGCATCGGAGGAAGATGGTGAAATCGAAGCTCTCTTCCCCTCGCGGGGGCGTCGATCGTCCGCGCGAACGCAAGCGGTTGACATCACCGGGACAGGGACGAGAAGTTCACAAGTGATGACTATCAGTTCAAAAAGGAAGGCGCTCGAGAGAGAGAGAGAGAGAGAGAGTTACGCCAAGACTGCGCGGGCGCGCAGGAAAAACCGCGGAGGGGAGGGGAACAACAGGATCGACACACTCGTACTCCTAAGCAGACGGCCCCCCCCAGTTCAGTTTCCCCGTTCCCGCCCGGACAAGTACATACACACATACATGCATGCAATCAACAACCCTTTACAGGTCATCTAATCATCCATAGACCTTCGACATCACTCATGCGCACGACCAGCTCCCATCACTCGGGGCTTCACACACACGACATGCATGGACAAAGCAGCAATGGAGATAAAAGCGAGTCCTTCTTGTACACAAAAATTTCAATTAATTGCCGCCCCGAGGCACAGCCTTCAAAATCTCCCAAGACCACCGCCCACCATAGCCACAAGGCCCTGCCGCGACCGATGTCCAATCCCCACCACTGCTCAGTTCCTCCGACTGCTTCGCCCCGAGACTACAGCGGGCCCACCCCACGTCGTCACTCCGCTCGTCCTTGGGCTTGTCGAGCCTGTTCGGCGCCGCGGACTTCCGCGCATAGCTCGCGCAGCATTGCAGCCGAGATCAAAGAGAGAGAGAGGAGAGGGCTGCGCAAATTTATAGCGCGGGAGGCGGCGGGTTGTCAGTGCGAGGTGCGGGCAGCGCAGGTTGTAGATGAGAAGGACAAAAGAACGGTGGGGAGTTAGAGGGTTCGACTCCCGGGGTTGCATGGTCCTACGTGATTGGGGTGTTCGTTCAAGTGCGCGGTTTCCCGCTCTCCACCTTGATCCGATCATCCCAACTACGTAGCCAATCACTTCGCGGAGGAAGACGGGGTAAGGATCAAGCTGGGCGTAGGGGAAGACGAAGAGTCCGGCCTGAGGGAAGCGCGCGCAGCAAGAAAGGAAGATGGCGCGGGGATGCAAAGCAAGAAACGGGGGTGTGAGACGCGCGAAGAAATCAGAGCTTAGGCGTGCGCGCGCAAAAATTCAAAAAGTCCCAACCGCACCCGTTTCTTGGTTTTCATGTCGCGGCCGCTATTCGCCCGCGCGGGAGTTATAAACCAAACAAAATGAAAAAGCCATTTCGAAAAGAAAACAAAAGCAAAAAGAAAGAAAAACCCCTTGCTGTCCGCATCCGTACTTCGGGGCTTTCGCGGGATTTTTCCTTAAGGATAGGGAAAGCCGCGCGGTACGGGTCTGAGCTTATCACATCTGTGATACGCAGGGGGTTCCGAAAAATTAGCAGTCTCCCGACTGCTGATGTCATCATATCTTGGATGATCGGGCGGCCTCTTCATCGTCAGCTGGCCCGATCATCTCCCTAATCTACGTGGATGCATCCTGCATCCTTCATCGCCTCCTCCCATAGTATACATCCGATCGGGCGGCCCCTTCGTCGTCAGCTGGCCCGATCGGTAAATTTTTTTTATTTTTTTTTTATTATTATTTTTTTTGGAAATATACAGCGCGTATCATCGCGCGAACTTTAGATCCGGAAAAGAAGAAGAGAAAGAGAGAGGTGGTGGTGGAGATGATCATAGGAAGTAATCAATCTCCGGATTGAGAGGGGGAGGAAGAGGAGGGAGAAACGCCGCGAGCGCGGCCAAGTTGGCTGGCACTTCCACTTCATTGAAGTGGTGCTGGACAAAGGAGGGGTAAAGGAAAGTCCCCGGTACGTGTGCGAGGACCCGCGGCGTGAGATCGGCGATCGCCCAAATGATTCGTCGTCGCAGCGGCCGATTTCTCGGACCCGTCAGCACCAGATGGGTCTCTGTGTACGGCCTCCGCTCCCGCTTTACCGCCGCGAAGACCAGGATATGGTACATTATGTTGGGCCGCTCGCCGATCTCGTAGATGAGCGTGCCCACCAACCTCGCCGCTATACATCCGTCGAATGGAGGCTGCAAGAACGCCTCCCATGCCGGATCAGGATGCGGCGCCCTCTCGATAGCCTCAAGCCGGATGGTGGTTAGTTCTACCATGTGATCCACGTCGGTTTGATGGACCGTCCGTCTCGGGGGAACTGCTAATATCAATGACCGAGGTATCCCGGGCGGGCTGGCGAAATCAGAACGGTCCTGCAAGGAGGGGGGGTCTGGATGCGGGATATGGAACTCGTCCCACTCCTCCCCCTTCGCCTGATGGCCCGACTGCATGGCTATTGAGATCGGGGAGGCGGGGCCGCTGAGGTGTCGACTCCCGATGGCCTGTGGATCTCTGCGGTTCTTCGGCGGGGTAGTCCACCCCCAGTCGGAGCCCGATGATGGGGGTGGCTCTTCTCTCACGAACCGGATCGACTCCGCTCACCGGCGCAGGCTGGACAACCTCCTCGACAGGCCCCACCCGACTGGCCTGAGCTTCCGGCGATGGACTTCGTCGCCGCTTCGGGACGGTTCTCTTTCTCGGTGCTTTCAGGGCCGCCGGCTTTGGATACGATGATGGAGGAAGCAGCGGCTTGTCTTCGTGCCCGAAGTCCACCACGGACTCCCCCTCACGCGCCAGGTAGTCAGGTATCACCGCCTCGTTATACGCTCTACACGGGGCTGAGGCGGTCTGCAGTCTGAGCTGCAAGTCTTCTTCTTCTGCGGCAATTACCTGCGCAATGGACAGAAGCTCGATAGAAATGAGCTGTAAGAGCCCTGGGCGATTCGTTCCGATCCTCCCGAAAGGGTAAAGTGCCACCGTTCCCTCCTTCCGCTCTGGCTTCGGCTTGGCGATTACGTAGTATACGTGGAGGAACTCGCCGACGTTATGAACTTCGTGCTCCACGAAGAATGTAAACATGCCCAGCACCACCGACGAATACAGCGCCGGATGCAGCTCCCACGCGTCCTCGTCAGCGGGCGGCAACTGCTCAACGTCCGTCAGCTCCACCAGGTACTCGGGGAAGTTGCGCATAGGATAGGGAAGCTGTGTCAGTTGGTTAGGGAGGGTAGTGTAAGAGAAGAAGGGAGGCATTTAGAGAGAAGGGGGAGGGACAGCTTGAATGTTGAGGGGCTCGGCGGGAGGAAGGAGCGCTGGAAGCTGCGGCACCAATGCAGGTGCTCCCTCCGGAGTCCGCCGCAGAAGTCCTTCGTATGCGGTGAAACGATGGGTGCCCCTCGCCTGCACTCGCGCCACCGATCTAGCCACCTGGAGGGCGTAGTCGCGCAAGAACCTGTACGCCGGCTCCCGATCGTGCCCGGGCAAGACGGTTAAATCCCCGGTGAAAGTAGCGATGTTGTGCACGAAGTTCGTGGCCACCTGGACGGCTCGGAACTCGATGAACACTCGCGTGGATTCCTGACCAGGTACTGGCGATATGTCCACATAGACGCCCGCGTACGTCACACGCTGCGCGAGGAGCGAGTACACCGCCAAGTCAGCGATGCTGGGTGCCGACACGTTCACTTGCTGAATGTCGAAGCGCAGCTGCCGATCGTCGTTGAACCTGTTCCGGAGAAGAGCGTCCGAGATGGGCGGCTGGAAGTGCTCGAGCAGTTGATGCTCCTGTTGGCGATGGTTCATCCTGCAAGGCGAGGTCTTCCGCAGATGCCGACGACGCCGATCGGAGAGAAGGGGAAGAAGGAGGCGAGGACGAAGGATCACGAGAGAGGGACGAAGAAGATGATTCGGGCAGGACAGGTGGCCGCACGAGGTCCAGCGATGGCCGAAAAGGCCGGAGAGCAGCAGCGTGCCTCGGCAGCGGGCGGCCTTGCGAGTTGTGCCTGGGAACCAGCTTCACGGAGTGCTGGCCTCGTGAGCCAACTTCCGTCACCTCGTAAACGCCTGTGTAGCGCGGGTGGATCTTGGAGGAGCGCGCGGATTTCTGTACCTGTACCAAGTCCCCAATTTTATAGCGAGGCAGTGGTCCCGCGGACGCATGTCGGTTCTCGTAGTCGCGGATCTGCCGTTGATGCGTCCGATCTACGGCCCGCTGTCGCCGGCGAGCTAACGGGGGATAGGCCCTAGCCATTAAGTCCATGTAGTGGCGGGCCTTATCCCTGTGCTGGGCCCGTGTTGCTCTAACTTCCGTACCTACCAAGGGGGACAACTGCACCCGAGGGACACTATTGGTTCTCAGTTGGAAGGGGGACACCTCAGTACTACCGTGTGGGGTAGCCCGATAGATGGCCAAAATGTGGTCGACAATGACAGGCCAGGGTCGGGTGTCTCCTGCAGTGATATTCCGTCTAAGGGCGGTCTTAATCAGTCGGTTGGCATTCTCTACCAGGCGATTGGCTTGAGGCCAATGCCCCGGCGAGTAGATAATCTTAACGTCCGCCCTGACTAGGTGACGTTCTACTTCGCCTTGAAATTCCGACCCATTGTCCATGTGTATCTCTTCTACGTCTAGATGCATGCACAAAAATCGATTTACGTACCAGGCTACCTCCTGCGAATTCCGGCTGGTCATGGGGTACGCCTCGATCCATTTTGAGAAATGATCGACGGCCACGAAAAGAACATTGAGTTCTCCCTGATCTACAGGACCTATCGGAACGTTGATATTCGTCTTGTCGATGCTAACCCTCTGAAAGGGGCGCTCTACATGAGTAGGCACCATCGTCCGAGGCATCTGTACCGGCGCCTTGTCCGCCGCGCAGGCCAGGCAATTCTGGACGATGTCTTTCACATCTTCCCGACTTCCCGACCAGTACCATCCATTCTTTTCAATGGCTTTTTCCGTGTACTTGACCGCGAAATGAACCGCATCCTCTTCATGAGTAGCTCGTGTCCAATCGAACCTAGCGAAAGGGTGTGGAACCGTCAACCAGCTAGACCCTCCGTCAACATCGACTTTTCGTTTTTGTAACGTCGATCTCTGCCAGCGATAGTCCTGCGCCCGCTCCGTGACTCTCTGTCGCTCGGCTTTGGTAAGTTCTGACAGCGAGTCGCCTGACAGCCTCCGTAGCAACAGAAGGTCCGTCCAGACTTCTGCCTGGCGGGCACTTGGCGCGAATCCGTCAGCGGTCTGTGTGTCCAGATACCTTTTCTCGGTAGGGACTTGGTCCGTTCCGCAGTTGGGACAGACCCATGTCTTTTCACTTCTGTACCTAACGCATTGTCCGTGGGATTTGACCGCTTGACACTGACTACACTGCACCCACAAAAGAAAATTGGGCCCTCCCGGATGTGACCCTTCTTGGTCCGGGACCATAGGCAATGTACAGAAGAAACAGGGACTTAGATGTGTTTCAGGGGACGAGTAGGGACTAGACGAGAGAGCGAGGGAGTTGGATGAGGGTAGAGAGATAGCGTCTGCCATCTCCGGCGAAACCTCCATTCCGGACTCAGACGTCGTTCTTGCGTAGCACGTGTAGCTCCCCGTAGCGCGGTTTCGTCGCCTCGGCTTCTGAACTCCACGGAATCAGTCGCTCGTTGGCGGGACACTTGTTGGGCGGTAGGAGGCGCGTCAATCCATCGGCGTTGCCATGCTGCCGCGTGGCACGGTGGCGGATGTCGAAGTCATAGTCCTGCAGACGCACCGCCCACCTTCCCAGCGTCCCCGTGTAGTCCTTGTTGTTGCGTAGGGACAGCAGCGACTGATGATCCGTTACCAGCACGAATTTCTGGTCGTAAAGATACGGTCGGAAATGCTGGATCCCCCAAACCACCGCCAGGCATTCGCCTTTGCACGCTTCGTAATTAGCCTGCGCCAAGCTTTGCGTCTTGGACGCATACTCAATGACGTGTTCCCTTCCTTCCGCCCCATGCTGAGTCAGCACCGCCGATATCGCCTGCGGCTGCCAGTCGGTGTATAGTGCGAACGGTCTTGTCGGGTCGGGACGCGCCAGCACAGGAGTAGATGTCAGAGCCTCCTTCAACGCCTGAAACGCTGCTTCGCATTCCGGCGTCCAGATCATCTGCTCGTCTTTCTTCAGTAGGTTCGTTAGGGGCTTCGCTACACCGGCGAACTCCTTGATGAAGCGTCGGTAATAGGATGCCAGCCCTAGAAAAGCCCGAACCTGGGTGAGTGTGACCGGCGTCGGGGCTTCTTGAACCGCTGCCACCTTCCTCGGATCCGGTTTTAGTCCATCGACCGTGACGATGTACCCCAAGAATGAGATCTCTGACAAGAAGAACTCGCTTTTCTCCAAGGCCACTTTGAACCCCGCATCTTTTAGTGCATGCGAAACCCACTCGATGTGTTCCACGTGGTACTCGTGTGTTTTTGAAAAGACCAAAAGATCACGCAGAAGTTGATCAGGGGCTGGGTTAGTCGAGTTTTGTTAACGAACTCAGCGAAGGCCATATTCATGGCCCGTTGAAACGTCGCAGGGGCGTTACAAATTCCCATGGGACACTGGACCCATTGCCATGTGCCCTCAAATAGGACAAAAGCGGTTTTGGGTCGGTCTTCCGGTCGGACTGCGACATGGTGAAAACTGTGTCGGATATCGAACTTGGAAAAGACTCGAGCAGACCCGATGGCATCTAATAAATTGTCGATTCGAGGCAGGGGATACACATCTTTGGTAGTGATAGCGTTCAATTTTCAGTAGTTGATACATACCCGGACCGAACCATTTCGTTTTGGCATGAGGACCACGGGAAAAGACCACGGTCCCAGCGATGGTTCGACCCACCCGAATCGCTCGAATTCCCGTATCCTTTCTAATGCCAGTTGTCTTTCTTTAAGGGAATATCGGTCCAGTCGGCAATGTATCGGGGCGTGGTCCCCAGTATCAATCGTGTGCTGTATCAAAGGGGTTAGCCCTATGTCGTGGTCCTGAATACTTACGGCCTCAAGATAGGCCCGTATAACCGCCAGGAGGACGCGCCTGTATTCATCCGGAACACGGGCTGGTAACAGAACTTCTACGGTTCCCCCAAGAAGGGAGACCATCGTCGTAACCGTGGGGACCGCCGCGCTGGCATCGGGTGAGGCCGGAAACAAAGAGTTGTCGGTTTTCGCCGAAAGGACAGTCGCGATAAGTTGACTGTCCGCCGGACTCATCGGGTCGCTTTCCATGTCACTATCACTGTCCAGTTCGGACAGTCGCGATAAGTTGACTGTCCGCCAGACTCATCGGCTCGCTTTCCATGTCACTATCACTGTCCAGTTCGGGTTCGGCCGAGAGTTCGACCGAAAAGGCCTGCGTCAGTTCCCTCGGTCCCCACCGATATTCCCTGGTTCGGGGTTGAAACGACACCCCCTCTTTCAAGAGTATCGCGGCTTTTTCATTCGTGAGTAGGGGCCGTGGAGGTCGAAAAGATAAATCGCATAGCCCCCTAAGCTCGGTAAATCTTTCAGGTAGGGGGTCCGTCCTGAGATATAAGGACGCAGGGGGTTCCGAAAGGTCAGCTATTCGGGACACCCTCAGCAAGGGTTCCCCCTGCACCACGGAAGAGATCGCGTGCGACCAATTGGACTCGCTCCGAACTATTTCCAGGGGTTCTCGTCGCCAGGAATGGTGTCACCGATCCTGAACTCGGATCGGATATCGGTCGAGAACGTCAGTCGAGGTTCCATTTTCGCCTGGCGGGAACGTTTCCAGAGGTTCCATTTTCGCCTGGCGACAGGCGTCGGATCATGTTGATTTGGTGGGCTTTCGTGGTGATTCGAGGCGCCGGCTGGGTACGCATACGCATTGCCAATCTCATCGGTATCGTTTGTGGTTTGGGGTGGGCCGATGTGAGCACCACCTTACAACTGTCAAAGTGCATTCGCGCTCCGACCGCCGCCTGCCATGGAATGCCTAGCAGAACATCATACGCCTGTACATCCAGCACGATTGCGTCGCATAAACAATGCAACCGCCCCACCCGTATAGGCACGTTCGTTATCCGCCCTTTAAAGTGAATGATGTCTTCCGTAGCGGATACATACAGTTCATCCGGTCGGAGGGGCTGAACCTGTTCTTCCCTTCCCAATCGTTTCGTCAATCTCCAAGAAATGGCGACTATTGACGATCCCGAGTCTAGGATGGCGGCCGAGGGGTTTCCCCAGACCTCGCAGTCACACTCAACGCTTTTCCAGGTTATAGGATAGGCCCAGAGGAATACCTCGGGTTTTTCCGAGGCAGACTCTACGGTCCGGATCATCCCTATCCGGTTGGCTTCGTGCACCTTTGAGGTCGAGGGCTGTGACTCCTCGTTTGTGGGTGGGTCCCGTAGGACCGGCTTTTTGCCCTTTCGACTTTCCTCGAATCGGCGCCTGTTTTTGAGGCATCGTCCGATCAATTTCTCGTTAGCCGCTTCGGAAATGGTTAGCAGATAGGGAATAGGGACGGGGATCCGTAGATCCAAAGCCTTCAAGGCATCCAATACGTCGATATGGCCATCCTTGTATTCAGGACCAGGTGCCGCAAGATCTTCGAACCCTGGTCGCCATGGCCCGAGGTCGCTTTCCTCGGTAATCCGTTGGACGTGACGTATCACTCCGATGGTTCCGGGTTCGAACATCGCTGCCGCCATATACTCATCGGGTCCTATCTCAGTGGCCGCAGGGGTCACCATCTCCGTCGTTCCTGTATCCATTACCGTGGCTACCCGCCCCTGTCCTGCAGCGGTTGGAGCAGCCAGCGGGATTTGGGAAGGTCCGGTGGGCCCCGCGGGCCCACCCTGAGTTCGAGGTTTCGGACAATCTTTCGCAAGGTGGCCTGGCTGATTACAGTTATAACAGCGTAGGGGTGGGACAGCCCCGGCCACAACCGGTCTTATCATATGGGCCCCGGCGGCCATAGCCGCCTGTTGCCGTTGTGCGGCGGCTATGCGTTGCCGCTGTAGGCCCTAAACAAACTCCGTCAACGGGGCCACTACCGTAACTAATTGGGCCGCGACCTCTTTCATGGACACTTCTTCCTCGCCCCGGCCTCCTTGTGCTTGACTAGGGCGACGGGAGGTCGAAGAAGAGGAAGAAGCTTTCCGGTCCGAGCCTTTATTTGCCGGACCTAGCCCGAAGCGATCTTCGAACATTCGTGCCGTAGCGGACTAACTATTCCGTCGAACACCCGAAGGGTCGTCTTCGTCGGATTCTGAGTCCAGGCCCACATCGTAATTTTCTTTCCTGTACTTAATTGCGTACTGAATTAGCTTCGTCAAGGTATGTTCTATAGGGTTGCATTTCTTGTGGATCTTTTTTCGCAGGCGAGAATCTGACAATCCTCTGACGAAATCAGTCCGTACCATTTTCTCGTCCACCCCGGAGCGTTCGGCTAGGTACGTAAAGCGTTCAACATATCTAGCCAAGGTCTCCCGAGGCTGGTGCGTATATTCCTTTATTAAACGGAGGCATTGACCTGGTACGATGTGATCAAATCTGTCGAGAAATTTCCTCTGGAAGGCTAACCAATTAGTGAAAGGGTTTTGTCCATACCACTCGAAAGCGGTTCTGGCTAACCTTCCGGGAATTCGTTCTCGGAGCAACTGGTCCGACCAGCCCTGGGCTTTCAAGGCAGCTAGCCAGGTGCGAGGGTCGGTGTCATCTTCGGAAAAAATGGGAACCTCGGAGGGAGGAGGTACAAAATACAGGGGATGATGCGCCATCCCCGCGTGGTTATCGTCGTCGTTTCCACCCCCAATTCCAGGTTCAACCATCGCGGGAGGCGGACCTCGAGCCCGGCCTCTCGCTCGGTTCTGATTGCTATTCGCGGGCCGCCGTCGACGGGGAGCCAGCCTACCCAAAACGCGACAAATCTACTAAAAAGATCAAAAAGGAAAAACTCTAAAACAGGGTAATTGTCCTAGGAAAACCTCAAAGCCAAAACGAATCAGCTCTGATACCAACCTCACGCCCCCTCGCAGCTTCCCGTTGTGGGTCGCCGATCAGAGTTCTAGGAGGGGCGTGGCCGAGGATTTTTGGCCGTAGGGGTTGAGTCTCCCGGACGGAACGAGAGGCTCTCGTTTCGTGCCAGAGGGTACCCCGGAGTCGAACTGTCGCGAAGTCCCTTGCAGGTCGGATCACTTCGAAACGATAAAATTAGAAGGGTTTCCGCGAAAACGAATTGTCGTCGTGTATCAGGACAGAAAAAGGCATCAAGGGGAGAGGGCCATGGCGGCGGAAGACAGAACTCCGGCCGTCATGGGTTTGGGGGGTAGGTAGGGGGTTCGAAGCCTTCCGGCCTCGTCATCGGCCTCACGAAGTGACCAGACCAT